CTATACAATTGTGCATGGTTTAAAGCTCTCTACCACAACTTGGGCAAGGGTATTTTTTGCCGACGTCGCGTCAACTGTGTGAACAATTTGACAAGCTGGGAACTTGGCACTGTTGAGGCAAATGTTTACGCTATCATTTAATGGGCAATTCAAGATTATATCTGTACGGATTGATTTTTCAGGAATTTTCTAAGGAAAAAAGGTCTTTTCATTATAACTTCCGGTCTGATGACGTCATACACCTTAAACTTCGCACACGTCTTAAGTGGGTCAAGGTCATCATGTACACCAATATTTAGGTGATTCTGACAAACTTCGCCACAGACATCTATTCAAAATACATTTTTGAAAATTTTCAACCTGTCGCTAGAGGGCGCTCGAAGATTGCATGACGTCATCGGTAAATGATTTGAAGAATACTATCAGCCAAGAGACTAACACCGTTGAAAGCAAGTTCATATCTATTACCACTTTTAAATAATAAGCCACTTTCGGTTTTGACCTTTTTCGACCGGAAGCAAGGGTCACGTGATTTCACGCACACTGAATGAAATAAAGACCTCAACCTACTCTACCACTTGCCGGCAACAGAATGCTGCGGACGCGTACGGTTGATTTCTTATACATTTTTAAATATTAAAAGTGTCACAATTTAATTGCCTATAAATAAACACCGGATGACGTCATCATGACGTCATCATTACACAATGTTGTTTGAATAAGGGTCTTTGCTTGGACAAAGATTGGTGTAAATGAATTACTGGCAAAGAGTTCAAAATGCCCTCTGAAAATCGGCATTTTTTTTTAAATTTCTGTGTACAAAGTCTATGGGAAAAATTAAATATTCAAAATTCAATAATAAATCACGTGATGACGTCAGCATGACAAAAAGTTACGGCATACATCCTCAGATGATGGTTAAGAACTATGCTGAGTTTAAAGTTGATCAGATTTAAAATAATTGCCAAAGTGGCTTGTAGAATAAATACGTGTACAAAACCTATGGGGAAAAGTGGAAAAGAAAAAAAAAAAAAAAAAAAAAAAGGAAAAAAAAAAACTTTAACGAAAACAATAGCTGTTCCCAATTGAAATTGGGAACAGCTAACTAGAAATTGTGGTTGTGAACAACCACAGAGCTGTTCCCAATATTGATTATCTGTTGGACCCATAGACATATAGGTAGAGATCTATGTCTGTTTGCAACATAAGATAGGGCTTTCCGCATTATGATTTGTTTTAATCAATGTCCCTGACTATCACTACGAATGAACATAAAATCTGTCAAAGTTAGCCGGAAATCGGCTAAAACGGTCACTGTGGACAGGATTTGACCTCAGCAACACGTGCGCTGTGCGCGGGCTGACTGACATACGATATGTACAACGTACAATATACGTGCATGTACTGTACATTGTGGACGTCCTGTGCATGTTTTAAAGCAGAGGTATTGTCAACCTGAAGTTTTAAGCGTGCGCGGGGCATATCCGAGTTTGCTTATTGCCTCGAATGTTTGAAACGTTTTAGACCTACCCTTAAATAGACAATTAAGGTAAAAACTAATATAAAAACTGCCATGGTTGATTTTTCAGGAATTTTCTAAGGAAAAAGAGTCTTTTCATTATAACTTCCGGTCTGATGACGTCATTCACCTTAAACTTCGCACACGTCTTAAGTGGGTCAAGGTCATCATATACACCAATATTTAGGCGATTCCGACAAACTTCGCCACAGACATCTATTCAATATACATTTTTGAAAATTTTCAACCGGTCGCTAGAGGGCGCTCGAAGATTGCATGACGTCATCGGTAGATGATTTGAAGAATACTATCAGCCAAGAGACTAACACCGTTAAAAGCAAGTTCATATCTATTACCACTTTCAAATTATAAGCCACTTCCGGTTTTGGCCTTTTTCGACCGGAAGCAAGGGTCACGTGATTTCACGCACACTGAATGAAATATAGACCTCAACCTACTCTACCACTTGCTGGCAACAGAATGCTGCGGACGCGTACGATTGATTTCTTATGCATTTTTAAATATTAAAAGTGTAACAATTTAATTGCCTATAAATAAACACCGGATGACGTCATCATGACGTCATCATTACACAATGTTGTTTGAATAAGGGTCTTTGCTTGGACAAAGATTGGTGTAAATGAATTACTGGCAAAGAGTCGAAAATGCCCTCTGAAAATTGACATTTTTTTTTTAATTTCTGTGTACAAAGTCTATGGGAAAAATTAAATATTCAAAATTCTATAATAAATCACGTGATGACGTCAGCATGATGAAAAGTTTCGGCATACATCCTCAGATGATGGTTAATAACTATGCTGAGTTTAAAGTTGATCAGATTTAAAATAATTGCCAAAGTGGCTTGTAGAATAAAAACGTGTACAAAACCTATGGGGAAAAGTGGAAAAGAAAAAAAAAGAAAAAAAAAAAGGAAAAAAAAAAACTTTAACGAAAACAATAGCTGTTCCCAATTGAAATTGGGAACAGCTAAAAAAAAACTTTAACGAAAACAAGAGCTGTTCCCAATTGAAATTGGGAACAGCTAAAAAAAAATGAGAACAAAAACAAAGGCTTTTCCGCAACTTTGCGGAAAAGCCAAAAAATCAGAACAAAAAGAAAGGCTTTTCCGCAACAATGCGGAAAAGCCAACAAATCAACAATACATTTAAAATACAAGTATAAAACCTAAGTAAAACACAAATTCTAGTTAAGAAACACGAAATGCAAAAGACGTATATCCTTCTACCAATATCGATTAATTGAGACACACTTGTATTATCAATATCTAATATATCAATGGAACACCATATCGATACTGGCTCTAGTGATAATCGATATCTTTACTACTGACATACACGTCCATATATACATAAGGCTATGTCACGGCAACATCTCACAGCCCTACTGCTCCATGCACAGGATGCAGAGATAAACAATTGAGGATTAACTCTGGTTGAGCAAACAAGACTCACACAGGGCCCCAGCATGGTCTTGACTGGTCCATGTGCATGTCTCAAGATTCCTTTGTTCTAAACTAAAGGCAGTACATGAGGCAAAATCAAAGATAACTTAACTTCTAACTAAAATATGCTAAACTTCTACGTGTTCAAATGCTTCAGAGAATCCATCTCAACTGAAACCATCTTCACTCCTACTTCTTGCATAAAGAAACCTTGCAATTAATTCTGGGTCTAACAGTGAAACTTTCCTCAATCAACTGTCTTCAACTGAACACTAATTCATCAATCAGAAACATGATCTCACAGTTGTGTAAAACTTCATGTTTCAACACTTATATAAGTTTCACAGAATAAATGAATGCAATGAAGGAACTTTGAACCTTAACTTAATAATGAACTTCTTCACAAACTTGGAGGAATCGAATGTTTCAGAACTAAACTACTTATTTCCTCAAGTCTCAACAGTCTAAAGTATTAAAACAACTAAACACAATACAAAGGCTTAAATCAAAGGAAATCTATGAATGTGAACTATCAGAAATGAAAGTTAAAATCAACATATCTGTAAGAAATAATGGAGAGTTGTCAGCCAAAGATACAGAAATGCATGAGGACAACTTTATTGCAGATGTTGGCAGGGTCATTGCTTGTAAGAACAATGAAGCCAACTTCCTGTCCCTTGCTGATGTGGAAAATCTTGGATCAGTCCATTTTTTCAGAGGTAAAGCAAAGTCTGGATTATTACATTATAAAAGGGGAGGGGGCAAAATTGAAAAAGGGGGTGACCAATTTCCATGGCCTCTACATATCCGGTTCGTAAGTGACTTCGTCATACACGCGCACGCACCACTGATTACGAGCGCCCATTGGATAAACACTCAAGTTGCGTTAACTTCCGGTTCCATTGGTGCCATGCTACACCATGTACAGTAAGTTGAGATGACGTCACACTTACGAACCGGATAGTAAAGCTGAGAACTTCACTCTTCCGGAACAAGCGAGTTCGGTATTCCAACTGCGCGTGTGCACATCTAAATTTGCCGATTTGGGGATACAAATGTCATCGTTTGCCTGCAAAAGCATAGCCGAGTATTTGCAAAATTGAAGAGATCATCATTTTCTGAAGTATAACATTTTGCAAAATACCTTTGGACTCCGAGGTGCTTTTAGGTGTCTTGTGTATAATTTCGTTTGTGCCAAATTCCCATTTCTTCTTGATTGCACGAAAAATTACACAGAATGCAGATTTAGGGTAACACGTCCCCCCCCCCCCCCCCCCCCCCCCCCTAGCCACGGGCGCATTTTATCTTCCGCGGTTAGCCCGAAAAAAAAAATCGTCGAATCTTGCTTTGTACCAGACTATTTTGAAATACCGAACTCGCTTATTGCCAGACAAACGAAATATTCAAAGAACACCACATATATTTTTCTCGAATGGATCTTTAATTTAATAACTTTTTAACAATTTTTTTTTCCAAAAGCTTCTTTTAAGATTATAAAAATATATCTTGAAATGCAAACGTTAGCAAAAGTGATCGGTACAAAAGATCGAAAAACTTGTACCCATGAAAATGTAATCATTTTTGTTTGGCACAGTGAGAAAGACGAGAATATAATTAACGGTTTCCGGTTCCAGATAAGCTGAACATTAGCAAGGAACTCATTATTTGGCTTCTAGATATTTAGAGAACAGGCTACACAACCGAAGGAACATGAAATAGCAGTAGAGTTGACGTCAGCAAGTCCTCACAAGTCAGATCTACAGGGTGAGTCAAAAGAAGTGGAACCAAAACCTCAAAAACGTACATTTCATATTAAAAAAAAAAATAGGCAACATTGACATTGATTGGCTTGAGATGGACTTTTGACAACTTGCCTTCAATAATAGTATATATCCGGCTCAACACTTGTAACTGCTGTTTTCTATGACGCTTTTGTAAGGTATGCAGTGCATTCAAAGCATCAGTTTATATAATACATTATACCTTGATAAAATATGGGGGAAAACACTCTCTTGTGTTAAGTGTAAACCTTAAAATACAGGATCATAATTATAAATGTTGCTTCTGATTCATTTATTGAAACGAAAGTAAGTTGATCAACATTTTCTGGTCAATTCTCTCCTCCTAACTTGTCAAAGCTTGTGTGTTGACTATCATGGAAAATTCAATTTGATAGAATGGTTGGTTTATTCATCTTGAATCAGGAAAACGACGGGGAAAAAATGCAGATTGAAAGGTATCTGGAGATTTATCATCATGCTAAACTTAGCAAACACACAAATTGGCAGTCAAGCAACCGAAGGCATTGTCCAAAAAAAAAATTGGTTATCTCTGGACACGTGTAAATTGGCAGTGGCACCCATGCGATTCGCATGCAGTGTAACTGTGCCAAGTTTGAACTGAAATAACTCAAGTTTCTCAAACAACATGCCTGCCAAATTTGACGACAAGTTGACGTCGTTAACAATGAATCACCACCTGATCGTGAGTAAAACGCCACAATTCCTGAAGTTCTAAAGATTGCGAGATTTTTTTTCAGGCACTGTGGATTGTGGAACAAGCTGATCATAGGAACTCATGATCGCATAAAACCCTGACAAAAATAGAGATACAAAACTACCTGCATAATTAATGGAAGAGTTGGTATTAATACTGCTACCCTCAATCGGGAAATGCTGAGTGTTGTGACCTCTGACCCACCTGGATCAGACCATTCAGATTAAAGGGGAGAGCAGGGGTACTTTGGTGGTGATGTGCGCCAGTTTTCCTTTTATCTTGAGGAAGTGTCGCTTGAACTCGATACCATCACCCTAAAAAGTGAAAGAAGGTTTTGGAAATCAAGAGGATTCAGTGTTTCGAATTAGACTTTGGGAAAATTTCCAACAAAAACAACCATGATGGGAAACTGAGTGGATTCCCTTTTAATTGAAAGTAAAACATTAAAGTAACGTTCAGCACATGAACCATACCACACAATTCTCCAGGTTGTGTTGCAAAATACGTTTGTTAATAAACGCGCAATCCTATTTCCCGCAAATATGCATAACCAAAGGTTTCCCGGGTGCTAAATTATGGGGATTTATATGTGGTTCACAAAAAAAGCTCTGCATCAAAAACTACTGTCCTGAATCGAGAGATCTTGGTTCCATATTCTATTTTTTTTTTGGGGGGGGGGGGGGGGGTCTCACCCTGTATAGGCTACTTAAAATACAAAATCGGCGCCCGAGTTGAAATATAGGCACTCCAGTGACATATTAAAGACCGGAACCGTGAATGTATTACCTTTGATAGTCTGAAGTCTACAAGTACTTTGTCGTCCATCTCGTGTAGGTGAGCTTTGAAGATCAGCGGGTTCTTTCGTCGATCCAGAGATGTGATTGTGACCTGTGTCAATCAAAAACACAAAAAGTACTCAGTCACACAAAATCAACAAGTCAATCTGGGCGATTCGAGGTTAGAGCCGAATAGAATAGAATCGATTACCAATTTGAAATCAGAATCTGTCTTTAAGCAGTGAAAAAAAAAAGACTTCAAGTCTGCCACGAGCCAATGTGGGCCATCAAGCCGGCATTTATCTCCGGTTTCAGTAGCATGCAACGACTGAGAATATTTCCACTCCCCCTGGATGGGATGCCAGTCCATCGCAGGTTGCTCCCCAGCTAATGCCAGTACCCATTTATACTCCTGGGTGGAGAGAGGCATGTGGGGTGGCTTGCCCAAGGACACAACATATTGCCAACAGCTGGATTCGAACCCCTCGCCATCTGATCATGAGTCACGAACCCTAACAACTAGGCCGCACTTCCCACTCAGCAGGCATTGTCCAATAAGTATTATTTTAGTTATACAGGCTAACATATCTGACCTGTCTTGCTGTTGTCGTTTTCCAGCTGTAGCCCATCTTCTCTAGTACGGCGGTGAGTTTCTTGATGGTTTCGTCGGGGCTAAGTTTGGTGAAAACCCTGGTCATGCGCTTAACTAGTCTCTGCATAGGTGTCTGTCGGGACAATGGGAATAAACAGAAACAAAGTAATTATAGAAACTAAACAAAAAAAACCATTGCTGCTTGTGTTGGTCTTTAACCTTTTTACTATTGTGAGGAAACCAAAATAGAGCGCGTCCCAAAATACCGGCATTTTTTTTTTTCGCAAGGCTCTAGCATCGGCACAGAAACACGTACATGCACCGCCATTATTGTTATACCATTTTAAAGCTTGGAATCTTAACTTTATCCCTAGCGACTATCAGTCTGATATGGTCAGCCTGAATGAAGTGGTACTATTTGAATACAAAAGGTTGTGATTAAAATTTGGTCTTGAACTTAACTCTTTAAGTCTATTTTTTGCTCTGTTCTCATTTATCAAACTGAAAGCCATTTCAACACAAGACAAAATGGCACTCCATACCTGAAATCGTGCATGGATACTTCTGAAGCATTTATCTCAAATTTTTGTAACATTACCTTGAAGAAACTTCATAATAGAACAATCTGAAAACACACCTGCAGCCTATGTAAGGTTGATGTATGGCCAGCAAAACACAAAAACATGCTAGCTTGTTGAAAAGCAGTGAATTACATCTGTGTTGAGGGTGTTTGGCGTGTGGTTTCCTGGTCGACTTAAGTCACCTATGGATAGCAGCAGGGGGGTGGTTTCTAATCGACAAAAGATGTCCTAGAAAGGAGAGGGCTAAAAATCCACCTGAACCTGGACTGTCCGTTCTTGAGGGATATCCAGCTAAGTTGTTGACTCACCTGTGAGCTACCGGGCGTTGACTGTATCTGACTACTCAGCAGCAAGGAGTCAATGTGGACCGGCTGTGAGAAGCTGACACCAAGGATTAACTTCTCCACGGATTCTTTGGTGGTTTCTGGTGTGGGCATGTCATGGACGGCGTGCGGTATGGGCTGGGAGCTGGAGAACGTGGCCGAGTTCTCTCTGTATTGATTTCACAAACGGGGAAGACATGAAAAGGGAGGATTGTAAGGACTGGAAAACAGTTATGACTATAGACCGTTATCATGCTGCCACCATTTTCAGTCATGTTCCCTGTATCAAATAACGTACTGAATGATAATGGTTTGATGCACAAAGATACCAGACTATTCTTCCTTCCAGCTTCGCTTTGATTGCGTTGACTCGAATTGGAAAAATCCAAATGACTGCAACATGATTATGGTCTATTGGTCAAAGGTTTTCTGTTCAAAACTGCAAGCGGAATAATTGTGAGTTGCTTTTTTACCAGAAAGATGAAGTAACAATTAACAAGGGATGAATGAGGACAAAGAGCATTTCAAATGAATAGATGGTCATAGCCTTGAGATTTGGAAGACTTGTGATTGAAAGTGCCCAGCGTGAGCGTGAACGTGAATGCAAATTTGTGACATCACGGCATATTTCTGTGCTGCGAATTTGCAAAAACTCAACAGACTTCAACTCCAGCAAATTTCGCAGTGAATGTTTGTGGACGTCAAATTCGCTTCGCATTCGCATTCAAGAGATTTATGAAACAGCCTTGCCAAGGACTGAATTACAGTTCTGTACAGAGTTGTAATGACTCGAGTCAATGACTCGACTCGAGTCCGACTCGAGTCACATTTTTTGGCGACTCGACTCGACTCGAGTCCCGACGGGTAAATGACTCGACTCGACTCGAGTCACTGCGAGCAAATGACTCGACTCGACTCGAGTCCCTCATCAGAATGACTCGACTCGACTCGAGGAAGGCTAATAAGACTCGAGTCCCAAAATAAAAGCAAAAGTTACTTGCAAAAAATATTTGCAATGACTTACGCTGCGCCGTTCGCGTTGCCAGTTTTTGTTCACGTCACGTCATGTTCGCGAATAATGTACTTTTATATACGTACAGCGGCAGTCTGTTTCCTTCCTCCATAATGAAACAACAAACATACACCGTGTCGCGGACTCCCACCTTGTGGTTCTATAGCATGTAATGCTAAACCCGGAACCAGACTTAAAACACATTTCTCAATCCGTGGTTTCATCATTGGTTTCGGGCGATTTTGAAGTTCTTGGTGGAACGCTGGCTAAATTCATGTCCCGATTTCACACAAAAAAATGGATACGGACGGGCCCACCTTTAAATAATCAGAAACAGTTTTGTATAATGCAATTAGGTTTTAACGTTGTCAGCGATCAGCGAACAACAAAATCTAGACCCGAAGCCAAACCAGTTATAAGACCGAAGTTTCACATCTTCTTATCTGTGACGTGAGCTAGCAATGGAAACTGCTGGTTGGGTACCATACAGCATACTTTATGTCTTTGGATATCCGTAATAGACTGGTGCCTTGTATTCTTTCTCTCTTGTGTTTGTTGCTTTTTATTGTAATTTAGTGTTCAAATATTTGTGACTCGAATTGACTCGAGCTAAATACTTGACTCGACTCGACTCGACTCGACCACACTCTGTGACTCGACTCAACTCGACTCGACCTTGTTGACCTAATGACTCGACTCGACTCGAGTCACTTCTTTAAAATGACTCGACTCGACTCGAGTCACAAAAATCAGTGACTCGTTACAACTCCGGTTCTGTATCAAACTTTTGTCCAAATTGCTTAAGATGAAGAATCAAATTGGGCTGCTATGTTTACCAGCACGATCATGAGTTAAGAAGCATTATCTTTATTCCCGGAGAACGTTTTCTTGAAATCACATTTTCATTTCTCTTTTTTATATTATTATATGTTTTGTTTTGTTTTGTTTCACTAGTTTGTGCTTAACAGGATCAAGCTGTACATAGACACAAATTATAGCCAAATATTTTTTCGAGGTTTCAGCGCTTGCGACATTTCGACAGCAAAAGGCAAACAATTAACAATACTCTGCACTCATACCTTCTGATAGATGAAGTAGGTGAAAGGTCATTGCCTGAGCAGACACGCTTGAATGAACCGGAACTTGTTGGTGAACTGGATGGGGGTCTGTGAGGCCAAGCTGGGAAGAAACCACCAAAATGTTTTTAAATAAAGTAGTAAACCAGAATATTGCAGAATTGTCGTGAAGTCCATTACATGTGATTATTAATACAAGCCAGTCACAAATCACACCACGAAACCGAGACAATCCTTAACCCTAACCACCCCAACTCCATCAAAATCCATCCCCCATTTTGGTGGACTTTGGGGGGCTTGGTCCAGAAGGCCTGGCGTGACTAAATACTGATGGAGTATGATGGACTTTGGCCTAATGGCCTGAAACAGTGCTAGGGGTATCTGATTGATTTTGGCTAGCTTCCTGTACTACTATTGTGATAAAAGCCATGTTTAGCAAGTCCATATTGCGTCAGTGGTGGATTCCATTATGTCATGTACAGTTTTATACTTGAAGCACAGTGATTGATGGATTTTGATGGACTTGGTTCAGTTCCTAGTAAAAGACGCTAGGGAGTTAGGATTAAAAGCCGTGTTACAAGTCTACCAATTAGGCCAAACAAAAAAAATGGTGTGTTTACGGTAACGGCCTAAAAAAAATCCAGGTAGGTAGGTAGGGAAATAATTTTATTTTGTAATTTTTTTTTTCATATCAGTTCTGCATGCCCATGCATGTTCTTTCGCAAAAAAAATGTATAAAACCACTATTCAAGCATTGAAGATATTCAATCGATACATTTCAATCCAAATTAATTTGTATCGTCGGCCAGGGTTCTCCCCAGGATTTTTTCAAACATGTGGGGGAAGATTTGCTGTGATTCAACAACCCGAAAATGTTTGAACTTTAGAAGCTCTCTGGTGCATTTTAGAGCAAATCTGGGGGCCTTTATCTTAAGATTTGTCCTTGAAATTCAGAGGAGATCTTGTAGGTCACTAATATTTTTGTAATTAAAGAAAAAAAAATCAAAATTGTTAACTTAAAAAAAAATAACATTTCACAACCTGTGTTTCATTGCTTCCTAACTAGAAAAGTATGAATTACATTTACATGTAAGTTTCAAATTAAGAAATTAAGGTGGAAAAAAAAATTTGCTTCCGATTACATGCCTTTTAAAATAGCGTCAGTAGGTCGGAAAATTATTTTGCCAATTTTTTGGGGGTGCTGATTAATGGAGCATCATTCGTACTGATCATACTCATAGAGCAAGGAATCATGTTTATTTTGTGCCTGGATTATTTCCATTTGCGCCACGAAAATAATCAAGACTGGCTATCAAAAGTGATTAAAACTTGCCTCACCTAATTAAAAATATACATCACGGCCGCTGGCACCGCCAACATTCCGCCTGGCTGGCCGAACATCGCGCCGTGCTCACGGCCCACGTGGCCGAAAATCTTGCACTACTGCAGAAACACGCTACGATGTTTCGCCACAAGTTCGAGCTTTGCAATCTCGTCATATTAATGGAAAACACATACGCAGAATGTAAAGATCACGTTCTGTGAATTAATTCACAGAAATTCTCTTTCTCCAGCGATGTTTGTTTGGTAATATTTTTACGATCCAACTTCGGCCCACTACATCATCATGCCGTATGATACGAAGTATGGACCGGAGAGAGGCAGTAGTCACTGGTTCCGGTCCTTCATCATAGCTTTGGTTCCGTAGGCTGGCGAAGGGAACCAGTGTACCATGCTGTATGTTAGCTTGGTGCTGCTGGTGGTCGACAGAACACGTCATCGTGTGCATTCTGATCACACATGCATCGGAAAAAACAGGATTTTGGTCAAGATTTTGCATGTCAAGATGAAATAATGGCGTATGTAACGATCAAATTGTGCATTTTAATGGCGTGTATGATAATTATATTGTGCGTATCAGGGGCTAAAAAATGTGATCGGCATTTTTTTTGTCGGCGTATCGGGCCGGCCGCAATTCCAGCGTGTCGGGCCGATACGCACGTTTGTACGTGGGGAGAAACATGCCGTCCGTCGGGCAGCCAGGCGTATCCCCGATGCGTTTGTGCAAAAATAATCGTACTTCGTAAGCTTGAGAATTCAAGTTTTGAGATCGTCGCGATTTTCGCACGTTTAACACAGGTATGTTTGTGTCAAATCATGGTCAGATTCAAGTGTGGAAAATGGTTTTTGTTCGTGGCAAATAATTAAACGTACTTGAAATGTTTGAAATTTGTCACTTATCAACCTTCAAAATGGCAATAAAAAGTTTGAGGTCGGCAATTTGGCCGAAAAAATTCCAGGTCGGTCGGGTTACCGTAAACACACCATTTTTTTTGTTTGGCCTTAGCTATTTACGCGAATCACAAGTCTGTCGCAAGTCATACTACATGTCAACTACAAGTCAAGTCACTAGCAAGATCTCTAGCAACCGGAAATGAACAGCAACAAAAGAATGCCTTTGTCGCAGTTAATTCGAATAGCTTGTGAGCCGACTAGGAGCTGGAGGACTTTGTGATTTGACTTGTGATTGGACTTGAAATAACTTAACTCTAGAATATTGACATCCATATCTTTGTTAGTGACTGGTTTTACATCAATGATTTAACCCAGACAAAGATGTTAGAATGCTTATAACAATTTTTGTATGGCAATTAGCCTGCTAAAGCAGCTTTTCTCTTTGTCAAAAAAAAAAGCATTTTCAAGGACTGCGCAGCAACAACCAGAAAAAAAATTAACAACCAACCCCTCCCTCCGTAATTGTAATTGTTGGCTTTGAATGACACAATCTATCATCTGTTTCAGTAATTTGTTCATTGATCTTAAAGACAAATTGGTACTCACTTTTGCCATTGTACCATCTGTCTTTCCTCAGTGTGGCTATTGTGCAGCGCTTGGTAGGAGACTCCGTCAAGATTTTCCGGAGTAATGCTGAAAAAAAAAAGACAAACAAGAGATGAACAAAATGTGCTTAAAATACTAGGAAATCACTGTCAGTACAGGGCACTGAAATAAATAATACATTTGTAATGCATATACAGGGCAAGTAAAAAAAAAATGAAACCCAAATGTCGGGACTATTGTTTTAGTGAAGTTTTGCATGTAGCACTTTCAAAATCTGGGATATGAAAGTCCATAAGCTTTCTTTTAGTACAAGAATTACTCAAATTACTCATGTACTTTTCAAGTTACGGAATTTTGAACACAACCACTGTGCATTCTTTCAGCAAAACGAAAAAAATTCAAGCACATCCCTATGTGATTTGTTTTCGATTTGCTGCACCTTTTTGTGATCCGTGGACAGAACTTTAAAACGGTGGTTGTGCTTAAAATTCCATAACTTGAATATTACACGAGTGATTTGAATGATTCTTGTACTAAAACAAAGCGTATGAATTGGGCTTTCATATACTAGATTTTGAAAGTGCTACATGCAGAAATTTACTACAACAATAGTCCCGACATTTTTTGTTTACCCTGTATAGCGCTTTCCATCGTAACAACAATCTCAAAGCGCTTTTCAAAGCACATTTCCACACTATACAAAGATAAAGGACAACTTTGTGCACTGGGAAGTAACAACAAAAAGGAAATTCTAAGCTATACAAGACTTCATACCGTGTTTCTCAATTTTTAACGGCATAAATTGACAAACGAGAAAATAACCTTATCCAAGGAAAACCTACATGCCTGTAAAATGCATAGCTTGCAACACAAAAGTCACACAAAAAGAGGAAATACCAAGCATTACAAGTCTCTCTGCAGTCTTTTTACAAGGGGACTAGAAAGAGAGAAAATCAGCTAATCCAAGGGAAAACTGCATGCCTGAAGCTAGCTGAGCAACATTCTGACTTCTAGAGTGGTTTCTTCAATTTTTAATTTTAACAGAAGGACCAAAATCCAGCCTTTTTCGTCTTGTTGAGGTATGCAACCTTCGTCAGTTAGTCCATGGAGCCCATACAGTCAACAGTAATGGAGGTATTTTTTCAGCTCAATCTCCACCTCAATGTAGTTCGATTTTTTGCGAAGGCAAAAGCTTTGATCCGTTGCCTTTTGTATCAAAGGGGAACATTATGGAAATATTTCCAAAGATGAAGATGGAGTTTGAGACAAAGATGAGACTTGGAAAACAGCCGCCGAGCCCACCTAATGGCAAGGGATCGATCTTCTTCCATGGCGACAGGTGCATCTTCTTATCCAACCAATCACGGAACTCCTTACATTCGTACGTCGGTTCATCCCACGGCAGTTCTGTTACCAAAATAGAACACAAACAATTCACATGGGCAGCAATCAAGTGTGTCTCTTCAATGCTATACTATACACAAGGATATTAGTGGACACTTGATATTTTTTCCTGAAATTGGAGGTATAAATGAAAATTATAATACATGTACACGTGCACATGTATTTAAAAATTTTAAAAATATGTAGTTACAATTGAAAAAATAAAACACCTAAAATCAGCTGAATTTGGAGGGTCTAATCTCTGCTCCCCTTACTGAGAAACCCCCAAAAAAGGACAATTATGTTGGAAACCTGCCAATATGTCTTCTAACTCAGGCATGCAACTGGGAATTTAGAGGAAAAAAAACAAGGGAATTACAAACCACACAAGACTTTGTATAGTGTTTTCCAATTTGTAATGGCATTCATGAGAAGTAAAAAACGAGGAAATCAGGGGATCCGAGAAAAACTTGCATGCCTGCTAACGCCCCCCCCCCCTTCCTGGGAGTTAAACACCCCTCTTGATCCAAACCTGGATCCGCCCTTGGGCTAAGTTACGTTGCAAATCAACTATTAGTTGACTTTTGTCATTGATCTAACTTGCTTTTGATGCAGAAGGACCATGTGATTTTAGCTACAAACCTCCGCCCAGCATGGCCACAAGAATGATCCCACAGGACCAGACGTCGGCCGGCTCGGCAGGAAACTCCTCCTTCTTCATGACCTCTGGAGCGACGTAGGGAGGCGTCCCGCAACACTTTGCCATCAGACGCTCTTTGCCCTGGTGCCGGAAGACCGTGGCTAGACCAAAATCTGAGATCTTTAGGTTATCTGGAAACAAGTTACAAAGACGAGAACATTAGACAATATCGGCATCCGGGAAAGAAAGTGTCATGTATCCGTATGATGATGACTGATACATGTAAGCATACGCGAGGTCGTGTTGAAATTAAAAGTTTGGCACTATGCCAATTTTATGCGGGTACGTACAGCTGCAGAGAAAGCAGAATCATGATTTATGTCACAAAAATGTGCGAAAAAACGCTTAAGAGCTTCCAACTGCAATCAGACATATCTGGTACATTATTAAATTAAGAATGAGAGGTTGATATAATTATTAAATCGAAAGAAATTTTCAGCGAAAACACGGTAAATTCATAGGTACAGATCCCATGTCAATATAAAGCCAGTTTGGCATGCGCACAATGATATGGGACACGGGTCATTTGGGATAATCAAACACTCATCAAAGGCACATGAATGCGCACAGCGACGGGCGCATGACGCTCGCGTGTTTTTACAAGCAGAATGGGCGTCCGCGTAACATCGCATGTCATCACGTCAACGATTTTATCGAATGACCTTTGACTGCTTCATTGAGAACCGAACTGGCTTATTGGCTTGCATACGTAGTTCCATTGCCATTTTGTCATATCACATATGAGAAGAACACACAGAGTGATGATGTCACGCGTTGGGCCATCAATTCTGAGACAGTGGGAGCTAGCCCCATTGAACAAGTGCCTGTAATAGTAGGTGTTAACACTTGGAAAAGCTCATAACAACATTTCAAAGTACAACAAATTGTAAAAATCTCAAAAATGTTTATCTTACCGTTATCATCCAGAAGTAAGTTTTCTGGCTTCAGATCGCGATGGGTCACACCCTTCTTGTGTAAATACTCAACGCCGGCCATCAGTTGAACAAAGTACCGATGGGCCTGCTTGCCTGGCATACCAATACCTGGCATACCAATATCAGGCTCTGCAAGAGAAAACAAATTATTTCAATTTTATGGGTGAGTTACTCAACAATTTGGACCCAAACGCATAACACCAGCAGTTTCTGTTCATCCAAGGCAACACGCTGTTTGTGAATTATGGTAAATATTCACGGTCTTGAAAATCATAATTAGTGTATCAACAAGTGGTCCACACACCGCAGGTGTCGCCTTTTTCCGTGGTCGATCCCTATATGTTTTTGTGTTCTTAGAAAGTCACATTTTGTGAATTTTATACACAGCAACCTCACCGGACCCCTGCATGACCTTTGACCTCCAATATCGGAAGAGTTGTGATGTAGCCCCATTCAAGGATCACTCCATCGAAGTTACATTAAAATCCATCAAATTCTGGGGAAAGGGGGTGCTGGGGGGATGAGGGGATGACATTTGACAGGTACAGAAAATGTCCAGAAAACCCTACCAATTCTATCAAAGAGCTCTCCCCCACTGATATACTTCAGGAAAACCCTACTTATTCTATTAAAGAGCTCTCCCCCTGCTCATGTACTCCAGGAAAACCCTACCAATTCTATCAAAGAGCTCTCCCCCACTGATATACTCCAGGAAAACCCTACTAATTCTATTAAAGAGCTCTCCCCCACTGAAATACTCCAGGAAAACCCTACTACTTCTACTAAAGAGCTCTCCCCCTGCTCATGTACTTCAGGAAAACCCCACCAATTATATCAAACAGAGCTCTCCCCCACTGAAACACTCCAGGAAAACCTTACCAATTCTATCAAAGAGCTCTCCCCCGCTCATGTACTCCAGGAAAACCCCACCAATTATATCAAACAGAGCTCTCCCCACTGAAACACTCCAGGAAAACGTTACCAATTCTATCAAAGAGCTCTCCCCCGCTCATGTACTCCAGGAAGAGATACTGAATGTTGCCTTCTTTGCGTTGGCCGTAGAAGCGAACAATGTGATCGTCGTTCATCATCCTGTGGACGCAGACCTGTAGAGGGCAAAGGTGTTAGGTCAAAACTCAAACATTCATCGGACATAACTGGCAAAGACTAATTCATGCTTAAAATCTAGTTTACGCCACACAAGTCACCAGAGAAGAAGTGTCACTGAATGGGATAGTGCCATCCCTTTTCCAAACAACAGCGAATACAGACAGAGTCTAGAGTCCAGATTTATTTCAAGAATGTATATGAGAACAGGAAAACACCTTTGAAGTTTTTGAAATCTTATTGGTTGCGGGCCTTGATGATGCATACTTCTATACGGTCTGACTGGCCTACTCCAGCACACTAACACCTCGCAATGCATCTAGTGCCCTATTCGTTCACACAGTTATATTTAAGTAAGATTGACCCCATGTCACTAGTCAATCAGCTTACTTTGCTCTGCCCAGACTCAGACTCCATGTCTGCCGTGGGAGATACCGAGACAGGTTTAAGACCCAATACACCCTTCACTTTCAATTCGTAATCCCTCCTCGCCGGCTGATGGCTATAGCCACGGCTTGAGGAAAGGCTATGTGCCGGAAGACGGCTAGAGCCGCATTCCCGAACGTGCACATTTCATTCATCATGCAATTGCACTTGATACAAGATTGGCATTGAATGGTGTATTTTCCATAAGGGAAAGTTGGGTGAACTTTCCTTAGTCATGAAAAGTAAAATCTATTCAGTGACACCACTTTCTGTTTTGAGTTGAATAAACAAAAATTGAGCACAGTACACAGGCTTTCGTTCAGTGTAAGTGCGCTCATTATTGATGGCTACGCTCGGCTGATCACACTGGGCTACCTGTACAACACGAATGCACCCTCAGTGTGAATACCAGCGGGCCGGCAAGATATCGAAAAAAGTATAACATCCTAGACAGGTTAAAGTGCAAACTAATTTTAACTGAACACAAAAAACAGTCTGGATATTTACAGTTATTGTACAGTTAATCACAAGTCAGTCACAAGTCCATCATACGTCCAGCAACATGTAGATCACAAGTCACTTTAACATTCTGGTGACATTAGCAACCATGAGTGAATGCAAGCGCAAGTGAATAAATTACAACCGAATGCGCTTACCACGGTGATTTAGCTGTGACTGAATGACTTGTGATTGACCTGGGAGACTAGGGAAGGACTTGTGATGCACTCATCAACTACAAGACTTCTGGCGATGGGATTTACAGGCACCTCTTTGCGGACATTCTCTATGGCCCCTTTGGCTTTGTCCAGATTGAGTATCTTGTCAGCTACAGCCTCCTGTGTGCTACGATTGACCGCAAGCTTCACCCTGGGGAGACACAACACAATAAGCATTATCCATTAAATGCTAAACATACAAAGCCTTGTGTGGTTTAAATAACTCCCTAGGCCCTTTTTGCTAGGAACCATCCTCAATCCTCCAAAATTGTGCACTTATGATCAAATGAAGGATACCCACTGCCCCAATCCTTCAAAATCGTTAGACAGTCCTGCCTCAAAAACATCCTCCTCCTTTTCAAACACCATTCATCCTCAATTGACCTATCGCCGTTTGTGAGTTAGCCACGCCCCTTAGACAACCCTATGGAGTTTTGGTACACTTACTTTTGTTTGTCTCAGATTTTGCGGGTTTCGCATCTATTTGTATAACATGTAATTGGACAATATTTCACAAGCTGCGTAGATGCGATTCTAATGCGATTCTACCGCAATAGGTCAACCCTCCAAAATCCTCATGTGCTTCAACACCATTCATCTTCAATCCTCCAAAATCCTTATATTTCTCAAAAACTATTCATCCTCAATCCTCCAAAATCCTAAAAAAAAAACGCCAGGAGGACTTTGGTAGATTGAGGTGGGTTAGCTAGGGTTAATTTGAAAACATTCATGAATTACACCCACTGAAATTTCAAAAGAATATTAAAATTACATTTAACAAACATGTAGGCCTATATCTGACCAGGAAAAGTTTCAGGTCTGGATTAAAGGGAATGTACATCATTGGCTTTTGCTGTAATTATCAGAAATGAACTACTTGAGGGGTAAGTATAATATATCAAATATTGTTACACTGACATGTTTGACGTTTTGTGTTTGAAAATGCTGTAAAAACTACGAAAAACAAAAATGTTTAAGTAGTCTGGTTCCTTGACTCCACTAAAGATAAAATGGATCAATTTATAAATGCCGGAAAATTGTAAGGTAAGGGAACCAGTCTAGCTGGCTTGCACCCGTTCATGAACATGTAACCAATAGCAAACAACATTTGGACTGAAAAAAAGTGTAAAGTTGGAGCAGTAGTTGAAAAATAGTTAGGTTTTTCCAACGGTGGTCAGCCGACCACCGTTGGAAAAACCTAACTATTTTTTTAAAAAAGGGAATTATAGGAATTCAATTTTCTTTAAAAATATCAGTAACTAATATGAAATGAACGAAAGAGAAAATAATAAAATATAAAATGACTTACGCTTTCATTCAAAAGAGAATGCACTTTTATAGTATAAAATGAGACATTGTTATTATAGCGTAAACTTCCTGTCATATGGCCGTGTCCGAAACGGGCTTCCAGAGCTACGGCTACGTCTATTGTCAGCGCGTCCCCGCGTATTTTCAATGGGCGCAGACCTAGACCTAGCTCTAGACAACTGATTCGGATGCAGCCTATAGAATGCAGCCGATCCGTTAGGGGGGCTCTCCGTTAGGTTTATACCCTCCGTTAGGGTTGAAGTCGGCCTGAGCTAGGGTTATATTACTGTAGCCAGTTAAGTCTGAATATCATGTACATGTACATCAATAATGCACTTTGGATGAGGCTATGCCCTGTCCAGGCCTTATTCTGTTTACAATCCAGAAAACTGTCTCCCAAAGCTATTTTTTTGTCTCTCTATCGACTTCTCCGACGAACGTAAAAAAAAAAAATATATTCAAGTCCCCCGCCCGCATGAGTACTGGAGGCCGCCATTTTAAAATATAAACAGATTGATTTTTATCACCTGACACAAAATGACTACTTATAAGATCAAGAATTAATGACAGACCTCAATTGTAGAAAAAAAAATCGAAAAAAAATGATGCACTGGCCGTTTATGAGGTTAAATGTTCAAGGCCAGTCTATAGCATTTTGCACAGTTTTAAACCAGCACACATACGGAATCTGCAATGTCTTCAGAAATAATGATAGCATCATTTTAATTTAGTTATATTGTTGCCAAATGTGCGTGGGTGTGGGTGTATGGGTTGTTGGCTGAGCGCATGGGAGCATTTTTATTTTGTTTGCTTGTTTTCTTTGATTTTTGTTTATTATTTAAATATTAAATTCCTTTGTGTGGGGTGGGCGTGGTTATCTTGAAAAGGGTGGGGAGGAAATGTTTCATGGTAATTGAAGGTTTTACTTAGGATGCTCATGTCTTTAAAGGATACCCCCATCCACCCCCCACCCCATCCCCACCCCTAACCAACCACCCACACCGCGTACCCCCTTCAACAACAACCCCCCCCCACCACCACCATTCCAGTTAGGGTTACGTTTCACAAAAGTTGCCCTCCGTTAGGGTTACGATCCGTTAGGGTTGCCTCCCGTTAGGGTTACGATCCGTTAGGGTTGCCCCCCGTTAGGGTTACGATCCGTTAGGGGTGCTCTCCGTTAGGTTTATACCCTCCGTTAGGGTTGAAGTCGGCCTGAGGTAGAGTTATATTACTGTAGCCAGTTAAGTCTGAATATCATGTACATGTACATCAATAATGCACTTTGGATGAGGCTATGCCCTGTCCAGGCCTTATTCTGTTCACAATCCAGAAAACTGTCTCCCAAAGCTATTTTTTTGTCTCTCTATCGACTTCTCCGACGAACGTAAACAAAAAAAATATATATTCAAGTCCCCCGCCCGCATGAGTACTGGAGGCCGCCATTTTGAAATATAGGGTCCACTGTACTAATTCAATCCCCATTGAAAACAGTGTAAAATCAACAAAGTTCAGGGCCAAGTAACATGCAAGCCAACATCACTGGGGTTTCTGAAACAAAAAATAAATTATTGTCTTGTCTTTCATCTTTTCATTTCTTTTCAATTTTACGTACATTAGCCAATTACATTTTTAAATATTCACACCCAAATAAAATCACCTCCCGAAAAGTGATAGTTCCCGAGCCTGCATGTAGCCATTTTAAGAGTGGCACCCTTCCACTTTCACAGGCAAATCGGACCCATTTTTTTCATCTGTGATGAAAAGCCTGCCCTCAGATGGAAGCCCCAAAACCAGGGAGTTGATCCTTGGGTATATTTAAACAATTCCACCGCTTTTAAAGCCAAACGGTCTCCGTTTTCAAAAGAAATTGTGTGTGGGGGGGGGGGGGGGTCACTTTTTATGCTAATCAGCTGGCGTAGAAATTCTCGCTTGAATTAGTTCACTGCACCCTTAACGGTCTCTGTACTAACTTCCGTACATTTATAATAATCGGAGTCCAGTTACAAGACATGTTCGTTTGGGTATTTTTAGGGCGCCATCTATTGCTGTCTAATTGCAAGGTTTGTTGCCATTGAGAGGGCGCTCTTCACAATATCTGTAGATTAAGAGTACAGTCGTACGAAGTGGCCAATCAAAGCAAACAAAAAAAGTTAAAAGGTCGCAGGGTTTATAAACAAGATCGGGTCAGGGAAAACCCTGGGGTAAAGGTTTATGATATAACGATAGAACTTGATGACAACCGCGGTCCGGGGGGCGGGGGGGGGGGGGGCTGGGCATGGCCCCGTTGGCCATGGCCCCATTAACGTCGCAAAAAAGTCAATCATTACGTACACCACCCACAAAACTCAACCAAAGCAATACATTTCCACACCTTCCTTTGCTTTTCATATTAAATTTGCAAAAACGGCGTAAAACGTTTGGACCTAGTTATGTTTGGCACCCCTCCCCCCCCCCCCTAAAAAAATGTGTTGTCATGATCCGGCCTTGCGTAATGACAAAATCGCGGCTTTGACAAAAAAAAAAATGCTTGTTATTCTTGTTTTGCGTAGCAACGCCTATAAACGTTGAGAACTGCTTGTTATTCTACCTGTGTTTCATTTTCAATGGAGAAATCTTCTGTGACCCTATAACCAAACATCTTTCTCATGACATGCTCATGACAGTTTGTCAAATGCCAGGCCTGCATCATCAAAGGCACAATTTCTCAAAATAATAATGTTTAATATGTGTCCCACAAACATTACTAGACGTTTGGCTGTGGCCATATTGGCGAGGTGTTTGTTCAACGGGTCTTTCATTCAAGAAAGACGTCAATAGTTAGCTGAATACTGCATGGGACAGTCTGTCGTTGATAATTACTACTCGTGGCACGTCATTTTCGATTCAAAATTGAAAAATAATCTCTTCAAACATCACAATGTTTCATGCGACATTTTTAATCTACGATTATTTAAGGAGTAAAATAAGATTGATCATGCAAATAACAACAACAAAGTCGGCAATAAAAATTCGACAACTTTAAGAATAAGAAAAATATTAAAGAAACAAATTTTAGTTAAAACACGTTGGAACTATTTTGAGACACTCAATCGTGGATAATGATGACAGAAAAATGTAAAGTTTAGAATTTTAAATCTTAAAGGAAAAAAAAATTCCATCATCTCAGTGGTAATTCGTCGGCGGGTAGGTTAAGCATTGACAACTGGTATCGGTTCTTAATATTTCGTTGCAAATTATCCAAGAATGGACTGAATTTATCTGGTGTGTTCGGCATGAATTAAAATGGATCCAGGTTTTTTTTATATTCACTAACGTAATATCTTTAATTAGTCCATCCATGAAAATCAGAGCTTATAGACTTGCACTTAGACAGTGGAATTGACCAACAAATGTTCTCTACTGATACATAAACAATAACAAGAATTTGAACTTTAAACATCAATAAACTTACATTCTAATGATAACAGAATTTACCAGAAATTAAAAATAATTCGAACATTAAACGACAAAGCAAATTATAGGAGATTTCAAGAGTAAATGAATATAAAATTAAAGCAAGGTGTCCAGTTAATTGAAGCAAAAACTGTTGGAGCCTGTAATCTGAGGATTTTAATTGAAAACTATTTTTGTTCCTTGTTTCCTAAGTGTTTGGAGATACTTGTGCGGCTTAAGCGTACGCCTAAACCAGCAGATTAGTTCACCAATGGTTGTGGTCTTCAATGGATGTCTCACTATTAACCTTGATACTTGGTCAAAGCCAAATTGTTTGAAAGGATGCGTGTGTTCTTAAACGTGTAAGCCATGAAGGTGTGAAGTTCATTCTCACTGTGTAGCCGGACAGCAGTCCACACCTCGAAATTCAACCGTTTAGTTTTAAAGTGAAACTGTTAGAGAGTGTCCGTTTGGTAGAACAGTTTGGCGATTATGGCGATGACATCGACTTGGTGTCGTTTTGTTCCAGGTTTGATGTTACAAAATTGTTCTTACGAATCTCCGTGGTCGTCCGTTGTGGTGGGATTTACTTTGAAGTTGCCATCTTGCACATGTAGGCTTTCGTAGAGCCGCATGGGTCGTCATTCCATTCGCCATCCCATCCGCTTACCATTTCGGTACAGTCCGCTTCACCAGCTTTGATCCAGGGCTGGCCACTTCTCCATCTGGTAAAGCCGACCGCTGACCCATCTGTCCAGATGAAGTTCCCTTCCTCTGCCACGTCAGTGAAGCCGATCCACATGCTGCTGGATGTAGTAGTCCCACGGACCGACTTCAACATCGTGAGCAGCAGAGAATTCTCCTCAACGCTGGCTACGGACGCCAGGTGACACTGGCCGACTTGAGTGAACTCCTTGCAGTGATTCTCAGCCTGAGCGAAGGTCTTGACGGTGCCGAAATAACGGTAGCAGTTGCCATTGTAGAAGGTCCACATCGGTGGACACTTAGGTGGGCATTTCGACGAGCAGTCTGGTTGAAATGCCGCAGTAAAACCCACCAACAGGACGAAGCACAAGGCTCGCATGAAAGCCATGCTGTTTACAAGTTGTCTTCCTACACCTCTGAGTGTCACAAACCAAATTGCAGTTGCAGGGTGAGACTAAGAGATGAGATGGCATTGCTTATAAACGTTCGTCTGGTCCCAGTTCGGTAAATGTACTTCCGATGTGAAGGCTTCAGTGGCGTTAAGCGTCAAGTGGAGTGTTTTAATTGGCCAATGAAGGTTGGAGGTGTGGCCACGGCCACATCATCACTGGCCTGACTGGACAGTATTTTTCACACCGTTTCATATAGGAAATCTTGTCAACGTTTTGCCATCATACGTACTGTCATCGGTGAGCAATTGAAAGCTTCACCTTCATGATGCGCCTGCATGACTGTGTGATTTTATGAAAGCAGAAAATAGCCTAGTTCACGGCTTTGAATTTAATCACAGACATTTTTACCACACCTTCAAGCTTTCCATAGATGGAGACATGTTCCGGTGTTTGTTTTTGCTCCCTTTTTTTGGTGTCCCATTTACACTAATAAAAATGTGTATAATATTTCTGCGAAATAAAAATATTATTCGTTTCACTAGCATATCAAAATGTATCACCAGTAATCACATGTCCCACTTGATAACGTGTGAAATAATATTAAAAAAAAGGTTGGCGTGCTTGGAACCTTTCTTTTTATTTTTGGGACTTTTTACTAGGTTTCACACGTAAAAGGAGCACCTATCTTCACAAAATTTAGTTTTATTTAATGACCAATGTTTTTTTCTTTAATATCAATACGTCCTTTCTTGTTTAATCATCATTTTGTTGAACCCTAAAAGGGCCTGGGCAGAATCCGCCCCGGCCCCCAACTTTTTCAGCGATAGCCTTAAAAAAAAAAAAAAAAAGAATTGGCGACCCGAGCTGTTATGACTTTTTAGCCTCGAGTCTTGCGCATCTTTTGATACAACAACATAAAAATCGGACAACGGGTTGCTACGCAGCGAAAAAAAATCCCATATTTTCCCTGCATTTTCCCAAATACGTAGTGTTCACAGAGCAGAATTGCCACTCGTACATAACAATAATTATTGAGCCATAATTGCAAAACCCTTTGACCAATAATCATGAAATTTCTTGGGTATGTATATGAAGAGTTGTTCCATGCATGTACTACGTTTAATTTTTTTTCGTTACTCGATGGCCGAGATCTTAGGGGGTTAGAATCGCCCCCGTCCCCCAGAGCTGAGAGATTTTAGGTTAACATGAGTATTACTAAAACTCTCTTAATTTGTTTTAATGTAAACTAACCGCAATTCAGATTTTTCCTGAAATAAAATAAACCATTGCAAATCCAATCCAATCAAAACCAAATATTGTCTTGTTACGCAATCATTCACAAAAATTGTAATTTGTAGTCTAAGCAAGTTGTTTTTGCAATAAACATTGTTATCCTGGGTAAGACATAACAAAATGCATGTTGAAATAAAGACACTAAACTAAATAGTTGGTCATTTATTTGGTCTCCCTTTTACACATGAAACCGTCGTAGTGGATATTCCCTCCTCTCCTGCCATCTTGCAATTTTGTTTGGTCACTGTGGAGGACTTCCGCCTTTATCAATGTGCAGGTATTAAACAAAGCTAGACCTGAACACCGCAAGATCTTCGACGAATTAAATCCGTTGCTCCATTTATACCCGGCGCACTATACGCGACCCTGCACATGCAAACCAGAGCTGCATTAAGAAATTGTGACGCAGCCTAAGATTTAAAAGTGTGCACGGCTGTTGATTGGTCGATAGCTGCCAGCTACAGGGCCTACGCCCCCCCCCCCCCCCCCACTCCTGAATAAAAATTGCTCTTTTGTCATTTACAAAGCTTAAAGTAATTAAATTCAAAATTCATAACCAATGCAAACAACCAGAAATATCATTACAATAACAGGCATTTATTTATTCTCGCGCGCCCTATGCCGTGGCCGATCGGCCACGCGCTATGCGTTCATTGAATTTTTGAGCGACGGACTACTAGTAATAAGGGTATTTTTGTCGGCGGCGGGTCACGTGTATGATAAATTTGACAAGCCATGCGCCTGGCACAATTAACGCCAATGTTTAATCTATCATTTAATGGACAATTTAAGATTATATCTCTCACGATTGATTTTTAGCGAATTTTGAAGAATAAAAAGTCTTTTCGTTGTAACTTCCGGTCTGATGACGTCATCGGCTTTAAACTTCACACATGCGTTGTTTGCATGAAGGTCATCATATATACCAATTTTTAAAAGATTACAGAAAATTTCGCCACAGACATCTATTCAAATGCATTTTGGACATTTTACAACCTGCCGCTAAAGGGCACTCTAATATTTCATGACGTCATCGGTTACAGTTTCGAAAAGAACTTTCTTGCCGAAGATTAACATCGTTGAAAGCACGTTCATATCTTTTACAATTTTTAAATTACAAGGCACTTCAACCCGGATTCGACCGGAAGTAAGGGTCGTATGATTTGACACCCACGAAGTAAATTGAAGACCCGGTATTATTCTATTGACTGCCGTTAAAAACAAGTTCTGGTCTCTCACGGTTGATTTTATATCGATTTGTAATGATTAAAAAATAGAAACACTAAATTGCTTGTAATTTGATACCTGATGACGTCATCATGACGTCAGGACAATATGCACTACTCGGGATCAGGGTCAATATGTGTTCGAAGTTACAAGTTTATATCTTGAACGGTTTAAATATCTTGAACGGAGTAAACCCGCGGAGAATTATTGTCCGGAAAAAGAAAGAAAGAAAGAAAGAAAGAAATATTAATCGGAAAAATTCTAGACAGTGGTAGGGTGGTGCCCGACCACTCAATTAATCGTAACAATAATAGAGAGTGGTCGGGTTGTGCCCGATCACTCAAATTAATCGTAACAACTCCAAAGAGTGGTCGGGTTGTACCCGACCACTCAATGAATAATTTAAGAGATTCATAAACCATGCCACGGATAACTTTTGAAATCTCAAATTACAGGATATCACTTGTCAAACATACCCAAGAAATGTAATGACTATGGGTCAAAGGATTTTGGAATTATGGCTAATTATTTATTCATATGAACAAATGGCAATTCTGCTCTGTGTACACGACGTATATGCGAAAATTCAGTTTTCACGGCTAAAAAGTCATAACATCTAGGGTCGTGAGCTGTTTTAAAGGGCAAAAGAAAAAAAACAGCTCGGGTTGCGAAAACATTTTTTTTAGAGGCTGTCGCAGAAAATGTTGAGGGGAGGGGGCGGATTCCACCCTCCGACCCCTTTAGGATTAAATCGCTTGTAATTTGATACCAGATAACGTCATGATGACGTAACAAAATGTATAACATCTTCGTAGCATGGTACAAGTTCTCACAAGTTTTTTATGATTGTACCGTTAACCGTTCTGGGTCTCTTCCCGGCAGTGTCAGGGCTACCGTAGTAGTAAGTACATTTCTACTGATCTTCCTGCCAGCAATTATTACATGAATGCGAACGAAATGTTCAAGGGCACTGACTTTCATTAAGGGCACTGGCTTTCATAAGCTGTCATGCCAGGAAAAACACTGGCAAGGATTACGTATGGTAATTTGAAATAATACTTATAATCAAAAATGGCCTTGCTTATAACGGGTTCATGATCGATGAAAGATTAAGTATAGATAGTGATATTGGAATTGCACCCTAATGCGCTTCTTGCATCAAAGAGTTCTGACGGATACTTGGATGATGAAGAAATTCCCTAGAATTGCTCAGGTGGTGAAAATGACGGGGGGGGGGGTGGGTATGGACTTTTCTCTATCTTTTTGTCCGTTTTCTCGCTTGTATTATATTCATTGAAATCTCGGAGTTTACTTTGGAAATATACCCTCTCCATACACTTTTCAAAATTGTTAGTATTATGTTGGCCTATTTTAACGAAAATGACTTTTTTTGTTCCTCGTTCGGAGTTTGCACTTGCAAAGAGATCCGCCTTGCCAGCAGACTGGTTCCTCGTTCCGAAATCTATGGAGGTTAATTGGACGGAGAACAGTCATCACTGCACTAACTAAATTACAATCGAGCCGACAGAGTTTGAAATTTGTTAAGTGTATATTCCATAACTAAGCATGGTCCTATTTCGTCCTTCGATTTTTTTTTTTTTTCAAGATGGAATATCTTAACAATGTCTATGATTGAAAACAGCGATCAAAATCAGTTTTCTCCGGGTGAAAATCGGATATAGAGTAAAGTACATCTTCGATTTTACAAAATGCTTTGAAGAAATATACAATTTGTCCTTGATACCGAACTTATACGCAAGTATGAAAACATGGTTTCTTTCGCCTTTCGTGGCCAGTCTATAAAGCATGCCAGCAATTCCGACAGATATGTGATTAACAGAAGCGTGTTGCTGCTAAATCAGCTGGAAATGGCTTCGGGTCGTAACCGATGAAGAAACAGAAAAACTAAAACTTTGACAGGGGGATTGAAATGAAAAAAATGTATGGCAGTGAAGTGACTGGGGACCTATTTGCATGAGACACTTTACTGGAGTGGGAAGCTCAAGTTTTGTTTGCCAATTAATAAAGAACACCCTTCTTTTAACCTCTGAATTCTAAGCTGGTGAGGAACGCACGTCAGGCACATATGCCTCCAGTGGGACGTGTGTGCAATTGTTCCTTATTAGATTTTTTTTTTAGATACACCACTGCCGGAGCCCGTGATCTACATACATGTCCAAATGATTACATTTTTTTGGTATAAGTATTTTCATCCCATTAAATAATAAGCCTACTGAAAGGGTCCATGAAATGTTACCGGGAACATATTTTGTGCATTTTTCTACACTTCTTAAATGGATTAAACTATTTGCCATCCATTTTTGGATTTATTTTTTAATGAGAAGGGCAATTTTATTTTAGCATTTAAAATTGCCCATGCTTTTCTTGACAAATAAGGGCGCTGTACTATGATGTAAATTCAGGAAGACACTATTCAATTTAGGGGTTCTGTTCAAATTGGGAACCCAAAAAAAATTGCTCACTGAAAACATTTGTGAGAAACTATTGCTCATTGGCTTACTGTCATTTACTGAGACAGCAACGAACCACCAAATACAAGAACA